TAATCATTATTCAAATTAGCTAATCAATATTCAAGGATTTTAACCAAAAACTAATCAGGCCTGTGCACTCTCCTATAACCTTTAGTACGTGCCGGGTTTATCCGCCATTGTTGTTGCTTATCAATAAAGCTGTTTCTTATCGTTCACCAGTGTTTGTATCATTACTGGCGTGGTGGCATCGTCGGGATACGAAATCGACGCTAAATATCGTCCCAAGAAGTCCGGTCATTCATGTAATCACCAGTGAACTTGCTTCTACTATAGCGGTAAGAAGTACACTTTATGTTAGTGTTTCGCTTTATATTGAACTGCTATCGTGGCCTATAATGTGCATGAACCAAAACAGTGGATTTGACCAAACACGAGTCAATAACGTCGTCGTTCGAAGCTTTGCGACATAATCTGCAATATATTTTGTCATTGGATCCAAATTGTGCTACGTTTCTTGCCAATGATTTTACATGGAATAGGAAGTCTAATGCCATCGCGAATTAATGCTGGGCCAAATTGCCAATTATTGTCTGTGATTTCACGCAACACCATCATAAAGTCATCCACATGTATGTCATCAATCTGGCAAGCAATTCGTTTACACTATGACTTCCAGACCTCAGGTTCACATTTCCTGGATTTTAATAATATTAAATTAGAAGCTGACGAGCGCCCAGAAGATCTATACCAACGCCTGGTTTCATTTATTGAGGACAACTTGTTACATCATGACAGATATAAAACATCATGGGGGAAACCATCACCATTGATGAAGAACTCACACCTTCCCAAGAAAACATCATTGTGCTCATATGGTTACGTCTCTTACACCCAGAGCTACCAAGCTCAGTGAAACAACGGTATGGCACTGAGTTACGCTCAAAGACGCTTGCTACTCTAAAACCAGAAATTTCTCAGGCATTAGATTTGCTTGTGGAGGAGGTTCACGCTTCAGTTGACGCCAAGGGGTTGCACTCCGTTGCCAATCAGTATATACACACCAAGGACTCTCCAAAACCGACTACAACATCAACCAAGCGCCAGAGCACTAAATCATGCATATTGTGTAAACAAGCTGGTCGTCCTAAATACCAACAACAGAAGATCGCTTTTTCATTTTTAAATCTCACCAAATAAGTTGCCAGGATAATGAGTTTGACAGTGATGGTGAAGATATCTACAGTGACCAACCACCAAACAATAGTGTTCGCACTTGCATTCTTCAAGGCTTTCTATCACTATCGCCCTCTGCAATTAACACTAGACACCGTAGCTGAAACAAACATGATTAGGTCTTCACTTGCTAAGTATACAATTACAATTCAAAATAGTTCACAAAAAGCACTCCGGGCTGATGGGCTGACACCACTTTGAGTTATAGGTGAGACTCATATCACACTTTGTAGAAGCGACATTTTTTTGTACACTCGATGCACTTGTCATTGAAGAATTGGATGTTGACATTTTAGCTGGCACACCGTTCATTACAGTCAAATATCCATCAAAGGCACACACGTTGTTAGACATGGAATCAAAGACGACACACCCCATTCACATAAAGTCCATCGCACGCAGGAATTTGTATTGTGTTCCTCTCCAGTTCCAAAAACTTTTCGTGGTGTGAGAGTATATACACGTTCAGTCATCGGCATGCCCGGTTCAGAAACTGCTCTTGAGGAGCTAATGTATCGCATATTGGGTGACTGCATACTGTGGAGAAAACACCCCACTCAAACTACTCCAAAACTGGGAAAACGTTCTAAAAGCATTAAGTAAGTGTAACATTCACTTTTCAGCTACCAAAACAACTATCTGCTCCAAGCCTACAACCATTTTGGGTTGGATTTAGCGGGATGGTCAACTTTCAGCGAGTCCTCATCGCATTGCAACTCTTTCATCATGTCCACCTTCTGACACTGTCCATGGACTACGCTCATTCATCAGCGCCTATAAAGTATTAAGCCGTGTCATCGAGGGTTGTGCAGCTGTAATTGCTCCATTTGAGTCAGCAATTGCAGGCTTGTCATCACCAGACAAAATTAAGTGGTCAGACGACTTACTACATAGCTTTAAAACAATACAAACTTCATTTTTCCAGAACAAGTTTATTGTTCTTCCTCGTCCCTCAGATCACCTATGGATCGTAACCGATGGCTCCGTCACCAAGCATGGCATCGGCGCAACTTTCTACATTGCAAATTTCTCAATTCATCCAGAACGCGGTTGTACGGGCATCCGATATCGCAGACACGAGTAACAGCAAACTACGCCTCCTGTTTACCACTAGATCAGCGTGGCACACACAAACACAGTGTCCAGATTTATGACGTGTGCATGCTCAACTAAGGAACAAGACCATCACGGAAACTCACCACTATCTGCGATGTGAAAGGGTATCTTGCTATCACTACCATCGCAAGAGATGGTCTCCTTATCGTTAAACAAAACAAGCCCTTCCAAGTGCCATCTGATCTAATCATCATCCCATGTTATTAACGGAATTTTAACTGCACTTCACATCAAACTAGATCACCCAACACCAGCTAAAGCATCTCTACCTTAAATGCAACTTCTATGCTATCGACCTGGACAAATCCATAGAGTTAGTGTCACAACAATGTCATGTCTGTACGACACCTAGTAAGCTGCCTGATACGCTAATAGAAACAAACATCTGAGGACCCACCAAACTCCGTCAGAATATATTTCGCAGCTGATGTCTCGTCCATATCGATTTTAGAGGCAGATATTGGAATATTACGATGGAAGTGTTAGATATAGCACTTTCTAACTGTGAGTCCGGTAGAGGATGTTCCAGAAACTATGTTATCGTGTGGACAGTCTTGGTGTCTTTTAACATGTCTTCGTAGGTGACATAAAACACGTTCTCGTCTCCACTCTGTGTTTCCATGGTGTAAATGGAAGATTCCCATCAATGAAATACTTCAGATAGCTTGTCCATGTAATTATCCCCTGTGGTGCACTAGCTTTGTTAAACCAGTGATAGCTAGAAGTGACGGCATCTTTAGGATTACGAGCGATGTATATAACCTTTGTACCAGTCTGCAGTGCTTGCTTTGGGAATAATTCGTACGGGAGGTGTGATTTGATAAGACGTGGCGATGACGTCACACTCTGGTTCATTTGAAACGATTTCATGGCTTTCAGTAAAGGTGTATCGACCTCACCGAACATCTTGGGTTCCATTATCAACCACTTTAGGCTTGGGGGCACTTTCTTGTCACCGTGCTGAAACACATTCAAATCGGGGTATAATTCTTGCAGTAAGAATATCATCCAGGTGTTACCAGACTTGGGAAACCCTTGCACAATTATGTCATCTTTGCGGAGAAATTTCTCCAAGACTCCACTCTCCAGTTTTGGGATATCGGTGTTCGGATAAAGTGTGTAGCCCTTATATATGCATTTCTGGAAGGAATCCATGACAGTATCCGGAGTAGTCGTTTACACCTAACTTTAAAATGGCAAATACGTCGTGTTTGTGTTTCTATGCGTACGCCGACAATGTATTTGATTGGATGCGCCTCTGTTTACACGTTTCACGTGACACAAATACATACCGACACAAGGTCGACCAGTACTGTTAGACAATATAAGTTATCTTCAGAATCTAGACCTTGATCGAGTCGTTCAAACTAACAGATAAAAAAGATAGGTCGGCGGTTATGAATTGTAGCATACAAGTAGCAATGTGTTTGAAAAACACAATGTATTTGAGAAACTAAACGGACTCACAAAAGCGATAGCTCATATTCCAGATATTCAGCGGGAAAA